TCATTTCCGAGTTTTTTTTATTCTTTTTATCTAAAATATATTTTTATATATATTATTATATTATTATCTATATTATCTATATATTTTTTAAGATTTATTAGAACAATTTTGTCAATAGTTACGCTGTGAAAGATTATCATGTTTTTCATTGGAAATATAGATTATCATTGGAATTTCAAAATAAGTAAATACTAATGACAATTATAGATTTATTATAGATTAAAAATTGGAAAAAGAAGTGTATGAGTACAAGAATTGTTAAAATTTTATGTCTTACAAGAATTTCAATATCTATTTTTTATGACTCGTATATTAGAATTTAATTGAACATAAAAAATAAAAGAGATAAAGTATTCTAGTATTTGAATGATAAAAAAAGAATTAACGTATATATTATTTTTTTATTGATTTAATTTTTTCCTTTATATTTTATTAAACTTATGAAGTTTTTTAAAAATTTTTTAAGTTAATTCGAATCTTCGTTGAAAACTTCGAATCATTTTGAAATTTAAATATCCAATCATATGTGAAATAATCATGATTAATTTATAATAATTATTTCCTAGACTATCAAAATTTTAATTCAAAATTTAGTATGATTTATCTGAAGAAGATAAATCATCGAAGATCTAAATCCATATTTTATAAATATATGCTCGTTAAATTATCAGAATTTTACAATAGAAATATTACCTTGAAATTCTCTCGATTTAAAATTTTGTATTTTGATTTCAAATGAAGAATTCGTAATTTTAATTTAGGGCTTTTGATCTTGTCGAGACATAAAAATTAATTCAATGGTAATCGAATTTATTGAAATTTATTTTAAAAGATCGATTCAATTAAAAAATCGATTCAATATATTTACAATACAAATTAAAATAGTTAATATTCATGATTGTTATAATAAATTCATGAATAATTGTAAAGTGTTTAACATCTTATTATACTTGTTATTATATACATCATAATGATAGATAATGACATATAATAAAATGTGATTGACATTCAAGGTTGAAATGTACATATCATATATATTGTCATATATATCAAAGACAAATGGAAAATAATAAATAATAAGTTATAATAATAAATATAATATACAAATTATAATTTTACACATTACTGAGTACCATTACTGAGTACATAATAATTGATAAAAGATATGAATAATTGAATAATCATGAAACAGAAAAATTTTATTTCGAAAGAGAGTATAAAAACGCATAAATAATCTTGTTTCATTACGATTTATAAATATATTTCATATTTTGAATGCTTCAAAAAAAAAAAAAAAAAAAAAAAATAAAAGTATCGATATTTTGGTATCTCTGTGGACACGAGTACTTATATTCACCAGTATCGATATTTTTATATCTCTATGGACATCAATATTCAAACAATTAACTATGATACTATGAACAGCCAAAGTTATAGGAAAATCATAATATACTATGAATTCATTCATTTCCTCCTAAAAAAATATTAAACAATATTATATTATTAAATAATATAATTATTTCAGTAATTAATTAATTTTTCAAGCCAGAAGTAATCGACAATTAATCTTTATCGATATATTAATATATTAATACATAATATATGTACGTATGTAACACATAATATATAATATATATAATGTATAATATATACATTTTTACATTAGTATACATTAACATTACATTAACATATTCGTTAATATTTTTTGAATGTGTAAAACACATTCTCGTTCTCAAACATTCAACTTTAATTTTTATCTAAAGTTAATAAATAAAACTGATAATATATATAATATATAATATATAATTTTCCTTTTTTATTTTCAATTTATAAAATTATTTCACAATATATAAATATAGATATATTTATCTGTATATCTACATATAGATATTAGTTTGTGTATTTTAGAATTATCAACGAAGGGTACGCAGTTTGTTCGTATAAAAGAGCGCAAGATTTGGTGCGCAGTCAATTTATCGAGCAATAGAAAATAGAAAAGATGAATCGTTGGCGTGGGAAGGTAGCGTTGGTAACTGGGGCTAGTAGTGGTATCGGTGCTGAAATAGCCAAGCTTTTGGTGAAGAATGGCGTTAACGTGGTCGGTATTGCCAGGAATATGGAAAAATTGGAGAAAATTGGCGAGGAGATCGGAAAGGATAAGTATTTCCCGATTAAATGCGACATAATGAAGGAAGAAGATATTCTGAACGTATTCGAATGGGTCGAAAAGAAATTTAAGGGCATTGATATTTTAGTGAACAACGCTGCTATTTTACACACCGGTTTTTTCATTGGTAAATATAGTTATCGATCTATTATTCGTTTTTTCGAATATGATCGAAACGATTATATAATTATATATTATATATATTATTATATAATATTATTTTATATTATATTTTATATAATATTATTATATATATTAAGCCTTCCTCTTAAGTTAATAAATCATTCGGATTGAAAAGTAATAAATCATATTTTTATTCGTGTAATTTAATGATCGTGTAATTTAATTAATGATCAAACATTGATCATTTTTTTATATAGAAAGGACAGAGATATATTTCTTTTTAAATTAAATACAAATACAAGTAATTATAACAATTTATTTTTTATTTTATTTTAATATTAGAATTCGTATGTTTTGATTATTTCTTAATCATATCCTATGTAATAAATGTAATACAAATTACATACGATATTTGGTATAGATAATTTTTTACTTCAATAGTTTTTCGAAATTTATTGAATTGATCTATATTATTCGAATTACATACATTATAAAATAGTTTCTTTATCTAAACTACATAAACCTATTATTTATTATCAGATTTACTTATTAATCAATTAAATGATAATTTTACGGAGTCACAACATTTTAATGTTGTATTATCTTATCTGTAATCTATACTTATTGTATTATATATGTATTATATAATTGTATGTAATATATAATTATATAATTGTATATAATTGTTGTATTATATAATTCTTTATAAATATTATACATATATAATTATTACATATACGTACATATATAATTATTGCATATACGTAACAATGGTTTTAATAGTAAACTTGAGAAATTAAAAATAGAAAAAAAAAAATTATCTTATTTTAATTATTTAATAATTGTATAAATTGTATATATTAAATATATAAGTGAAGTATAAAAAATCATATTTTAATATTTTAAAATAAACTTATCACTTATTATTCTACAAAAATTTCATTGATAATTAAAATTTATTTTTGAAAACGGATTGAAGATATCTATTATTGCGTGATTTCAATATTAAGTCATATATTGTTACGAAATGCGATTGTACACACGTGTATCAAGAAAAAAAAAAAAAAGAAAAGAAACGGAATATAACACACGTTTCTTATTTTAATTAAAAAAGAACTATATGCAAATAAAATAAAATGAAACATAAAAATTATTACTTGTTCTCATCAGAACATGTTCGAAATAATATTTCTAATTATGAAAAAAAAACAAAATATTTTAATGTAAAATTGCACGTTTCAGATCAGAAAACCGAGGAATATCGTAAGATATTAGATACGAATTTATTAGCTCCCGCGATATTCTCACGAGAAGCTGTATTGTCTATGAAAAAACGAGATGCCCAAGGTCACATAATCAATATTTCTAGGTAAACGATCTTCTCGATGTTAAAAAATTTCAATCGATTGGTTCATCTCGAAATTTATCTCATGCATAAAATTCTAACGCTACGCTATTACTTTTCTGTTTCAATGTTGAATATCACGTATCATTGATTTTTCCATTTTCGTTTCTTTACATCATATTTATTTTCTATTGTCGTTATATATAATTTTCAGCATTGCCGGATCTCATCTCGACGCTATACTTATACCACTCGGTTTATATGGACCGACTAAAGGCGGTATGCTCAATTTAAGTACAGAACTTCGTCACGAAATCATTCAGAGTAAATTGAATATCAAAGTCACGGTAAGAAGTCATGATGATTCGAGCAATTTAATCGTTTTTTTTTTTTCATTCTTTGCCAAAAACGACCAAAAGTCAACAATTTTATCTAACATTGTTGTTTGAATTTTTGAACGTCTTTCACAAAAAAAAAAAAAAAATAAATAAATACGTAAATGTTTGAAAAAATTCGAAAAATCGAA